GTTCAGGGAGAATGGTAGTAATAGTGGTGTCAGATTCTTTTTTCTTTTATTGTGAAAATACTGTACAGAGGGGTTACAATTACATGGGCAAGATAATGAGTACATTTCTTAATCAAGCATTATAGCCTCCTCCTTTGTTTCCCCTTCCCATCCCTTCCCATCCTCCCCCTCCCCCCACCCAATCTTCCCTGCCCCCCACCACCAAAATTGTAAAGTTTGTTTTTTGACATAACGACTTGTACATCTCATTGTTGCAATGGGTCTACCTGTATCCCCATTTAAACGATCTGTTTTGGTTTTTTTTTTGCTTTTTTTTTTTTAATTTAATTTTTTTATTGTGAAAATACTGTACAGAGGGGTTACAATTACATGGGCAAGATAGTGAGTACATTTCTTATCAAGCATTGTAGCCTCCTCCTTTGTTTACCCTTCCCATCCTCCCTCCCCCCCAATCCTCCCCCCCCCAAGTTGTAAAGTTCATTTTTGACATGACAACTTGTACTTCTCATTGTTGCAACGGGTCCACCTGTGTCCTTATTTAAACGACTTGTTTTTCCCCTTCCCCTCCACAAATTATACTGACATCAAATACAGTGAAAGCAGGGGTTATACTGTGGGGGAGGGACATACAAAGCAACAAAGAAATAATCTTATAATTGCGTTAGAAACAAATGCATGAAAGAAAAAAAAACATTTAAAGTACATATCTTAGGGTTCATTTTCCTACATCACCTTATCTGACCTTTTCTGTTTAACTCATACATACACTAGATATTGCAAATAAGGGAAACCATGGGACCTATGTTTCTTTGGGCCTGGCTTACTTCACTTAATATAATTGTTTCCAAGTCTTTCCATTTCCTAACAAATGAGGCAATGTCATTCTTTCTGATGGAAGCATAGAATTCCATGGTGTATATATACCACATTTTCTTGATCCATTGATCTACTGAGGGGCATCTGGGTTAGTTTCATATCTTAGCTGTGGTAAATAATGCTGCAATAAACATAGTTGTGCTGGTAGCTTTAGTATGGTCTTGTTTGTAAACATTTGGGTAAATGCCCCAAAGTGGGATTGCTGGGTCATAGGGGAGCTGTATGTGGAGTCTTTCGAGGAACCTCCATACTACTTTCCAAAGTGATTGAACAAGTTTACACTCCTAAGTAAGTGATTTGAGAATAAACACTGAACACCAAATTAAGGAAGTAAAGAAATTCATACAAGATCCAAAACAAAGATCCAACAAAGAATTTGAAGCCATCAAAGCCGACCAATTAGAAGGAAAAAAAAAAACAAAAAAAAAACAAAGTAGACAGTCCCTAAGCTCTTTTGCTCAAGGCTAGTACTCTACTACTTTGAGCTACAGCTCCACTTTTGGTTTTTGAGTGGTTAACTGGAGGTAAGAGTCTCATGGGGACTTTTGTGCCTAGGTTGTCTTCAAACCATGATCCTCAAATCTCAGCCTCCTCTTGTTTACAAATGTGAGTCACTAGCACCCAGCTGGGATTTATTATTTAAAGTATCAAGTTTACATAAACCTAAAGCTCACAATCCCTGTGTTTGTGAAATTGAACTGCATTTGATTATTGTTGAAGAAAATTAACCTGATAGAACAACAGACTGGATTTCAGTCTGCAGTCTACAATATTTATATTTCTGTCTTTAATTAAGTTTGAGTTTCTGAATCCCAGATGGCAAGTTTAAATATTTCTGTAAATTGAAATGGGTTGAGTGCCAGTGGCTCACGATTGTAATCTTAGCTACTCAGAGAGATCTGAGGATCGAGGTTCAAAGCTAGCCTGGGCAGGAAAGTTGTTGAGACTCATCTCCAATTAATCACCAACAAACTGGAGGTAGGGCTGTGGCTCAAGTGGTACAAAAGCACAGGAACAGCACCCAGGACCTGAGTTCAAGCACCAAGACTAGTGTGCACGCGCACGCGCACACACACACACATACACAAGTGCACACAGAGTTGGAAGAATGAGAAGGAAGAGACACCAAGGTTGGTCTGGAATTTGGGGTAAGTAACTTCAAAGTGCTGGAGTGTAACAGAGAGAAAGACATCGAAGTCAGTGAACTGCCTAAGGCAGTTACTGCAATGGCTAGCTCTGGCTTTGAACACTGACAGCACACAGATGTGGAGAAACAAGTAGCTAAGATTACAGGCATACGCCATCTGTGGCCAGTTCATTGCTGATTCTATGTTTTGCAACCCAAGATGCAGCAATACGTTCTGAGCTTTCCAGCTACTAGTTGGATGATGGTTATTTTGGATTCTTATTGCATCAGGCATCACACATTTTATGCATTCTATCAGTGCTTTTCAGACTTGTATGGGAACACACATCTGTTTATTAAAATTCAGGATTTGATTTATGTAGTCCAGGAATATAGCTCCCAAATCTACATTTCTGGAAAGCTCTGGGTCTGTTGCTGTATCTTGAGTATCAAGGCATGCAATCATTTAGTTCTTTCATCTCTATGAGGTAAAGAATATGGTTCCCATTTTACAGATGTGGAAATAGAAATTGAAGAGGAACAAGATCAGCTAAGGTTATGTTGTTAGAAACCAATGAGGTTTGGACTCCAAATCCAGATCTGTCTACTGTCATAGTGATGATAATGTGGAATTTGGAAACATTCTACAACAATTCAAGGATGATGTGATGCTATCTGAAACACAATTCATAGTTTTACTTTGCTCTATACTTCCTTTCTGATGAAACTTCTTTTCCATTGAATTTCTAGAAATTAAACACTTTGAGTGGTGGTAACGCACATGTGTTGGGTTTTGTTTCTACAGTTATGTAAAGGTAGTTAAGATTTCCAGTAGTTGCCTCTTCTTAATGTTTTTGCTTTCTGTGGTTTCAGTTACCCTTGTGAAAAAGCAGCCCAGATATTAAATGGAAAATTCCAGAAATAAACAATGCATAAGCTTTAAATAACTTCCTTCACAATGCATTGCCATTATGTTGTGTTTCATTATTAGCTCTTGTTACTTTTAAATGTGCCTAATTTGTATGTTAAACTTTACTGTATGTATGTATGGGAACAAAATAGTATTGGTTTGGTGCTATTCACACGTTCAGATGTGGAACTGGGAATCTTGTGCATGCTAGTCAAGCACACATCTCAGCCCTTGGGTATCTATGGTGTTTTTTTTTTTTTTTTTTAAAATAAACCCCTTGAATAAGGTGTGTGAGGGGGAGGTGCGGGGGGGGGGGGGGCGGGGGGGGGGGGGGGGGAAAGACTGTTGTGCTTGCCAAAAATGACGGTCTAGGGAATGCTATGCTGTTGATGGAATCTGCATAGGATGCTAGAGAAACTGCCCTGGGAGGGTGTCCAAAATGAAAGGAAATGGTCAGGGGAATTTATTGTTTAACACTGTGTAAACAGCGTGCTGGCTTCCCACCACCACCAAGTGAGAAAGGATACAGTCGCTGTCCTAAAAGATCACACAATCTTTTGAAAGTAACATTTCCCCCCTATTTATAAAACGAACAGGGCCCATAATAGAAAATCCAAACCACAAATATCTAATAAAACTTCAAAATGATCTAAAAATCCCCTCCCCCAACTGGATTTTTTTTTTTTTTACCTTTTTATTGGGAAGGGTCAAAATTCTAAAGAACAATCATAGAATTGTGGCAAAAAAAACCTACAATTTACATAGAACAGTAGGAGTTCAGTGTGCCAGCAGCTTGCACGAGTAATGTAAATACTATTTTTATTTTTGGTTTCGAAGGGCAATGTCATAAAAAGGGTAGAGCTAGTGGTTCCTAAAAGATTTATTTCAGCAGCCTTAGGGCGAATATGGCTTCTGTCTGCCCAAGGGTTGCAGGGTTTTTAGTGGATTTTTCTGACTTTCCCAAAGGATTCCCAAACTAAGCCCCTTCTCTTCCCCTCTCCCCCCCCTCCCACCCCCGCCAACTCCCCCTCCACCCCTCGACTTTGCAACCTGGTGGGGAGTCACCGACGCATGCGCAGTCTGCTCTCCGTGTCAGTGGCCTATTTTTTTTTCCCCTTCTCAAGCAGGGTGTTTTTTTTTTTTTTTTTTTTTAATTCATTTATTATTTCTTTTTGGAGTGCAGTCAGCAAGAAAGCCAGAACTGTCACTGCGAACAGTTCCGAGCCGCAGAGGAAACCAACTTAAGTGAAACATATACCTCCTGTCCACATGACCTGGGGGGGGGGGGGGCGGGCTCCAGATGTCCCCCGCACCCCTTTACTTTTCTCATCCCTGGAAGAGGAGAGGGAGTCGGAGGAACAGAATGAGCAATTCCCGGTGGGAAAGGAGGCGGCGAAACGGGGGGAGGGGGTCGGGGGGGGCGGCGATCTCAAACTCCCCAGCGCCCAAGTTCCCCAACCGCGCTTCCACGTCTCTGGGCGGTGCGGGCGTCCCCAGCTAACGATCCCTTTCACCGCGAAGATCTCCCCCTTATTTCTTCCTTTTCCTTTTTTTTTTTTTTTCTGGATACCAGCTTTTCATCCCATGAGTCCTAAGTCCCACCAAACATCCAAAGACACTTGGAAGCTGCCACTGTACTGGGATTGCAAAGTTCGGGGAGACATGATCACCGCGTGTCCCGCAGACCCAGCACCGGGATCCTCTTTGGAGTAGACGTCGCTTGGGGTGTCCGGGGCTGGCACTCGTCGCTTGGGGTGTCCCTGGTGAAGGGGGGGGGGGCGGGAACCCAGGCGGTGACAGCCTTCTTGCTACACTCTTCCCCAGGAAGCTGGGGCTGGAGGAGAACCCCAGAATCTCAGGGTTGGCCAGCGTGCGGGGACGGCGGGATCCCCCCCCCCCTCGGTCGCTCTCCCCGCCCCCCCAGCCCCCTCCGCGCCCGCTGCTCCGCCCCCTGCCACGCCCCCGGCCGCCGACCCCCCCCCCCCCTCCCCGCCCGCCCCAGCCCGGGCGGCTGGCGCGCTCCCACCCGCGCCTCCGGGGACTCGCGGCGCGCGGAGCGGCGGGCGCGCTGGGCATGCTCAGTCGCGGGGCGCCGGGCTCGCCGCCAGTCGGAACCTGAGCGCGGCCGCCGCCGCCAAGCCCGGCCGGGGCGCACCGAGAGCGCGTGGGACTACTACGCTCCACGGCGGCGGACCCAGGCCGGAGCCCCAGCCCGCGAGGCGTGTCCGACTCCCGGGAAGCGTCGCCGGGAAGGAGCCGGTTCCCCGGCTGGCGGGTCCCGGAGCCGGCGGGCATGGAGCCGTGGAAGCAGTGCGCGCAGTGGCTCATCCACTGCAAGGTGCTGCCCGCCAACCATCGGGTGACCTGGGACTCGGCGCAGGTGTTCGACCTGGCGCAGACCCTCCGCGATGGAGTCCTGCTCTGCCAGCTGCTCAACAACCTCCGCGCGCACTCCATCAACCTGAAGGAGATCAACCTGAGGCCGCAGATGTCCCAGGTAAGGCGGCCGCCCGCCCGCCCTCGGCCGCGACCCACCGGCCCGCTAATTTCTTTGTGTAAATGCACGCACGTAGGTGCTCCCCGCCCGCCCGCCCGCCGCGCCCCGCTGCCCCCCGCCGCCCGCACCACTTGGGCTTCTCCTACCTTGGCTTGGTGTGGGCTGAACTGTGCAGCGCAACGCTGCAGCCTGGCGTCTCCCAGACGGTGTCAGGGATTTCCTAAATACATGCCTTCGGTGACATGGGAAGAAAGAAGTTGTCCTGGAGTGCCCTTCACCAACTTTGTGTGTGTGTGTATGTGTGTGTGTGTGGGGGGGGGGGGGGGACAGACAGACAGAGACAGACAGACACAGAAATAGCAGAGCGATTCTATCCAGCGCTTCCCTGACATCGGATGGGGGGGGGGGGCGCGTTTTGAGTTTCATCTGTTCTTTGCGTTTTGGCCCCCATGGTTTTCTGGAAAGAGGAACCATGACATCAGCCGAGGACTTTAGGAAGTGGAGGGTGTTTGGTCCGTTAGTCCGTTATCTGCCCAGGAATGACACTGGTCACAGGCAGGAAAAGGAATGGGACACACACACACACCACCCCGTTTCCCCAATGTCCTTGTCTGCCCCCCCCCTTTCCCCCAGCCTGGGGTTGCAGTTCTTCAACAATGTGAGAAGCAGCTAGCCCAGTCTCTCTCAGCAGGGACAGGAAATGAGCAGTTTCACTGGAGATTCCTCTTTTTGGGGGCTGTGGGCTCAGGTGGTCAGGTGTATTCCTGGCCCAGCCTTGCTTGAGAGTTTTAAATCAGATGAAGCTCTGACAAGCCTTTGGGCCCCTTAGAGTCAGCACAGAAGTCACAGTGCAGCCCAGTAGGGGTTTCTTGGTCTTAGCGGAAAGTTTCTGCCCAGGAGGATGTTAAACACAAGTCACAGCCTCTGTTTGCTCTTTCACACACAGAACACACACATACACACACCCCAATTTCAACTTAAAAGGGAGAGTAAAGAGCCCGGTTCAGGACACAATTTAGCACTAGTCTTGTCTGTACAGAACTTCAGCTACTTAGCAACCAGTGCCGGTGCCTCTCAAGAAAGAACTGGCTTTCTACGGCTTAATTATGCATCTAAAGGTAGAGCCGCACTCATCTCTGGGTCCCGGATGTCAGTACTTGAGTGAGGTCTCTCTGCACTTGAAGTTTTGCACCTCTTGTTCATCTGCTTTCAACCTGTTAGAAGGCAGCCCATAAAAAAGGCCAGGCATGGAAGTGGTCATGCTGTATGCATTTACACAAGAGGTAAATGCTTTTTCATGATGGCTTGATGATTGCTAGCTTTGTGGAGCTCTTCGTTGTGGTCTCAGTGATGGATCTCCAATATAGCAGACATATAGCAGAAGCTGCTATATGTCTGCATTTCCATAATACAGGAGCTGCTGTCTCTACAAAGTTCTGCAGGGGAGCTGCCGGCTCCTGGTCATCCCTGGTCTCATAGGCCCCAGTTTGTCCAGAACCTTCGCTTTGGCCCATCAGCAGGGAGGACAGTACTGTGGCAGACACCTCCCGGAACTTTGGGTTTCCAGGAGCTTTTAGTGACTGTTTATTGGGTCACTCTTCATAATCACATTTTCTGGACAGCTAAGCATCTCTCTCCTCTTTAACCTTCAAACCTGTGTGTGAAGGTTAACAATGGAAAGGAAATCTTTTCAAATGCTCTTTTTCTTTCTCCTGTTGGAATGTGATTAGCTGTAATTTAATCTTTCCAATGACTAGGGGATATTATTATCAGCATCACTAATGAAAATTGAACACATAAAATTCTCTAAGAGCTCTATTCCCTACTGAGGGTACCACAATGAGCATCTGAGGATATTTGCCCTGAAGGAATTATTATACTGCCATCAGATAAACCACCAGGTGGTAATGAGGTAAGTAGGACAGCTAAATGATCTTTCTTGAGATTGTTGTCCTTTTCAGTTCTTAATCTTCCCAATCCTGAGATTTCTGGTTGCAAATCCAATGCATTTGCCCTTGTAATACACCACGAGTGAGTGAATGCTTCTCTCAAATGTAAATACTGGAACACGAGTACCGGACTATGGTGATGGCTAGTTTTATTTCCTTCTTGATTCTTGGCCACATTACAGAGAGGTAATGTTGCTGAGTGGCTGAGAGCTAAGGCCGTTGAATTCATATTATATAAGTTGTCATGTCATTCTCAAATGAAACGAATGCTTTTATGAAATGCATCAACATATTTGGCAGTCCACGGTGCTCAACATATACTGCACAACAAATAAGTGTAAATGTGACTTAGTGTTTCCCCTCCCCCTGCTCACATCATAGTAGAAATAACAGAATACAATTACTACACAGGTTTACAAGTTTCATTCTACTGACATCTCTAAATATTTCTACCTCCAATCTTTCTGAGGGAAGGTTCTAGCCATTCTTCTATATGAAGTTCCTATCCTGGTAGTTCTGTTCATAATGTGTAGGGAATAACCTGTTAACCCAGTGCACTTTATATGCTTTTGCTGAGACTCAGCTTTTCTCCATACATTCACATTCTTGCCTTTCCTCTCTCCCTTCATGCCCCTGCCTACCTGTCACTTAGAGAAGACTTTCTTGACTACCTTCCGTAAACTCCCTTCTATCAAGTTATATTTCCATTTTGTGTGTGTGTGTGTGTGTGCGCGTGCGTGTGTGTACATGTGCCGCGCACGCTGCTTCTAGGGCTTGAAATCAGAGCTAAGGTGCTGTCCCTGAGCTTAAAGCTAGCACTCTATCACTTGAGCCACAGCTCCACTTCTGGCGTTTTTGGTAGTTAATTGGAGATAAGAGTTTCAGGGACCTTCCTGCTGGGCTGGCTTTGAACTACAGTCCTTACATCTCAGCCGCCAGAGTAACTAGGCAGCCTTGATGCTATGCATCCCGGTGGTTTATACTCTTCTGAAGTTAGAGGTGCCATTATTAGTACTTGTGGCTTTTTGATATGTTCAAGAGTCATTTCTTCCACCTGACTTAGGTTCTGTTGAAGACACAAATTTGAAGTAGACCATTTCCTTATAGTACATGACTTCTAAGGTAGGAAATAATAGGAAGTTCTCCCTTCACAAGTTTTTTTTTTTTTTATTATGAAAAATGTTCCAAGCAGATGCAGACAAAGGCAACTTTATTGATATTTTCCTTGCTACATGTTTTTGGTTTCCTGAAAGAGGCTATAAAATAACCAGCCTCTTTTAATAAGGGTGTTTATTCCAGTGAATGGGCTATTTCATTTTCTTTCTGTTAGCCTTCTACCTTATGTGCATTAAAACAAATAACCCTGCAAATAATAATTGCCCAATTATAGGCTAGAATCTTTAAAGTATTCCTACACTAATTGGGTCTTATTCAAAATGGAAGCATAAATAAGATCCCACTTCTCTAACCTCTTCTTGGCTGTGGACAGCACTTTCTTTCTGTTTTGCCATCTTGCTAATGTGATGGCTATCTTCAACTAAAAAAGGGTTTGTCTAAAATACTGGTTTAGGTTTTGCTTTTATTTATAATAGGTTAAAGAGGTAAACATTACGTTTAGTTAAACGTTGAACATGCTCCTTTGGTTCAAAAGAATGAAGTTAAATAAAATTGAAAAATCTAAGAAACTTAGTATCTAAATTAGATATTAGATGTATATTAGATTTGGTTTTTTTTTAAACCCAAATAAAGCACTTTAATGACCAGAGAGGAGCTGCCTGCTAATAATCATGCCCTCTAGGGAAAGGTCTGGCGATTGGCTTCATGTTGCTTTTCATGGTTCTGTCTTTATCAATGCCTTATCATCAGTTTGTCATTGATGAGATGATTTGGGTCTTACTTTCAAATTAAAATCTTTGCTTTGTATTATGTTTAGTGGTAGGAATACATTTGATGAGATTTCCAACCACTATGTATGATATATTTAAAGTTTATGTTGTGTTAAAACTAATCAGTCATGAAAGGTATCTTTTTTCTATTTATTTATTTATTTTTATTGTGAAAATACTGTACAGAGAGGTTACAATTACATGGGCAAGATAATGAGTATATTACTTATCAAGCATTGTAGCCTCCTCCTTTGTTTCCCCTTCCCATCCCTTCCCATCCTCCCCCTGTCCCCCCCAATCCTCCCCGCCCCCACAAAAGTTGTAAAGGTCATTTTGGACATAACGACTTGTACATCCCATTGTTGCAATGGGTCCACGTGTATCCCTATTTAAACGATTTGTTTTTCCCCTTCCCCTCCACAAATTATGAAAGGTATCTTTTTGTTGTTGTTGTTGTTATATTGGAGTTTGAACTCAAGGTAGGCGGTCTATCACTTGAGCCTGTCCCTCAGCCTAAAGGGTTTTTTTTCAATTTGAAAAAAATACTTTGTTCCTACATGGTGTCAGGAATTACTTAGAACACTGCCTTTGAGCAGTAAACACACTCAACACTCTGCTCTAACGGGATATTTATGTGCTAGTGGAGGAGATGGACTGTACACACATATAAGCCACTGTGCAATAGAATGTATACTGAGAACATTTGAAACTGGATAATAAGAGAGAAATGTGACTTGAGCTTGCAGAAGGGAGTTTATGCAATTTATGAAGGGTAGCCAGGAAAGGCAGGAATGTGCATGTTTGGAGAAAAGAATAGTCCCAGGAGAGGGAACACGGATAGGAATGTCCTGAAGTAGTTAACTAACTGGCAGGCACACTAGAGGAACAGGAAGAGGGCTGAGGGGGGAGGGGTTAGGGAGAGCCGGGGATAGGAAAAACCAGTAGGAATGAGGTTGGAGAGAGAGAGAGAAAAAAAAAAGGAAGCCCAATGTTTAGAACTTGTGGGCCCTCATAATTACTTTGGCTTTTCCTCTGAGTGAAATGAGAGACCAGCTGAGGGTTTGAGCAAAGTCATGATTGACTTGGTTTATGTTTTCACCAGGGTCCCTGTCCTGAGAAGACCCTGGGACAGTGATGATGGAGGTAGTCAGGCTAGTGCTGCCAC